CGGGAAGGGCAGAGGGTGCCTGTGCCCAGAGGGAGAGCGGGAGGCGCTGGCACCGGGAGTAGGGGTCAGATGTTTTCACCTTTAAAGAAGTCGTTTCACCACAGTCTCTGCTGTTTGAGGAAAAAAAGGAAGAGGTGCTACAGAAAGCAAGGGCAGGCGTTGGCAGTGATGGCCTGGGAACAACACCCTCAGAGCCCGGCGGGTCTCCATCAGTGCTTGGCAAAAATTACCTCTTCAGCGCTGGGGGGTGTTTGGTCCTGTAAGTCTCTTCATTCCGCACAAAAGCTCTGCTAGTCTAGAACCTAACTAAATACATTCTACGCTGCTTTTCATGTCAGTTTTTCTGAAGCTGGGTGGGAGCGCCAGCGGAGGTCCTGGGCGGCTGCCGGCTGCCTGCTCCCGCTCCGAGGGCAGACGGGTCAGGGCAGCAGGCCCTCGTGAAGGCAACGCGCGCCTTTGCTGTAACCGGCGACCATGCGCAGAGTCGCAGCTTCAGTTGTTTCACGTATTTGAGCTGGCCAACAGAACATCCAACTCGGGATAGCAACAAAAGCTTATCGTGACAGCTGGTAGAAGCGTCATCTCACGGAGCCAGACTTAATTCCATTTTCTGCCGCTGCACAGAGAGAGAAGTGAAATACAGCTTTGTCCGAAACAAGTGAAGTAACATGCCCTGAATGGACCACGATAAAAGAAGTATTAGGACGTCAGTTTCTCACCAGAACTTATAAATTAAAAATACAAATCTCACCATTTTATTAAGACAGTCACTGACAGTTTGTAAAAAAAATTTCTAACATACATAAAAGCTTCAGGCCAGAAATAGTGAGAAATTGAAACACCCCCACCCCCCGCCCCATAGAGACACTGAAGTACAAATTTCATTTTGATTTAAATTGGCTTAATCTTGAAGTGTAGTCCAATAAGACTGAAGACTAGACACTTCAGGTCCTGGACCAGGTAGTAGAACACTCTCAAGCCTTCTGGATCCCTGCAGTGCACAACAGAAGGAAGGAAAAAAAAGTTAGATTGATGTTTTTAGACTAGCCTATTAAAAAAAAAACAAAACCAAAACAAAACAACAAAGCCTATAAGGAGACTTTTCAGAGGTCATCTTGGGCATTAACAGATTTGTTTCATCCTACATGGACTGATAAAACACTCTGCAGCCCTAGTTTGCAAGTTATAGTTCTTGACCAAATGTGCATTTTTATCACCAAGACAAGCAGTAACATCACTTTGGATTTACAAAACATGACGTCCAGTCTTTCCAGCTCAGGTGAAATACAGGAGCTTTGGTTCTCCCAGAGACATTGGCGTGTACAGGAGTCGTGGTTTAGCCCCAGCCGGGGACAAAGAACCATGCAGCCACTCGCTCCCTTCTCCCCGCCCTGGCGGGATCAGGGGGAGAACTGGAAGAAGGAGGCAAAGCTCATGGGTTGGGATAAAGACAGTTTAACGGAACCGCAAAGGAAGAGGAAAATAACAATACTGGTAAAAAGAACATACAAAGCGAGGGATACATAATGCAATTTTCTCACCGCCCGATGCCCAGCCTGCTCCCGAGCAGCGATCACCCTCCCCCAGCCAGCTCTCCAGCTATACAGCGAGCACGATGTCACAGGGTACGGAATATCCCGTTTGCTCGGCCAGTTTGGGTCCACTGTCCTGGCTGTGGCCCCTCCCAGCTTCCTGGGGAAATTAACCCTTTCCCAGCCAAACACAGGGCAACAGGCCACTGGCGGTTCAGTTCCGACTCTGAATACGCCTAACAGTAAGGTGAGCTGCTTGGTGAATTTGAAAATACAGCGTGTAATGTCACAGCCTGAAAGCTTTTCATACATTACGTGGGAACACAGGGCCCCTGTGCCTCCAGGAACTGATCTGTACTTTGAAACAATGTAAGAGTACCTAATTGTCAGCAAGTTCTAATACACATCGTTACATAAAAACAACAGCAACATAAGAAAGCAGAGTACGTACTTGGATTGATTTACATCAATGAGTGAACCGATTTTTGACGTGGTAAACGAGATGTGCTCATCACCAATTACTATTTCAAGCTCCTGAAAAATAAATTATTATAGGAAGTCAAACTACTGCTTTGTGGCCAGCAGGTCGAGGAAGGGGATTTCTGCCCCTCTGCCCTGCTCTGGTGAGAGCCCCCTGGGACTCCTGTGTCCAGCTCTGGAGCCCTCAGAACAGGACAGACCTGGAGCTGTTGCAGCATGGCCAGAGGAATGATCTGAGGGCTGGAGCACCTCTGCTGTGAGGAAAGGCTGGGAGAGTTGGGGCTGGTCAGGCTGGAGAACAGAACGCTGTGGGGAGACCTTACAGCAGCCTGCCAGTACCTGAAGGGGCCTGCGAGAGAGCTGGAGAGGACTTTGTACAAGGGCACGGAGTGATAGGACAAGGGGTGATGGCTTTGAGCTGAAACAGGGGAGATTTGGATTGGACATAAGAAACTATTCACCATGAGGGTGGTGAGGCCCTGGCAGAGATTGCTCAGAGAAGCTGCGGATGCCCCCTCTCCAGCAGTGTGCAAGGCCAGGTTGGACGGGGCTTTGAGCAACCTGGTCTGGTGGAAGGGGTCCCTGCCCACGGCAGGGAGGCTGGAAGCGGATGATCTATAAGATCCCTTCCAGCCCAAACCATTCCATGGTTCTATGATTTATGATATTAGTTACAGAAATACTTAAGTACCAAGATGCTGGCTACGCCATTTTTATTATAAAAGTATTGAATGCAGCAGGTCTGTGAATCACATTAACTCCCACAACTAAATTGCCACTTAGGCACCACACAGGTTTTAAAATAGTATTTGTTTCCCTCTTGGCAAGAGACAACACTGACGCAAAGAAAAAGTTCAGTTACGCTTCTTCTGAGCTAACGCGTACGAATTAACGCAGCGCCCGGAAGAGACGCAGCCCACCAACCTGCCGGCCGACTCTGTCAGGAGGTGGCCACAGGGCATCGTCCTCCTTGGTGATCTCGCTGTCGTCGATGATCCTCTTCAGCTCCTCCATCACACTCTTATGCACGTACGCCTGCAAAAACAGCCCGGCCCGGAGAACCAAGCGGCCCCGAGCACTGCCTTGCCCCCCACCCTGGCCCACACGAGCGATCTGCCTGGCCCGTTCCCCTCATGGCAGCGGGAGAAGCCTCCCCCCACCCCCCTCACGACAGTGGGCACCCTGTTCCCCTCACGGTATGGGGAGGGCACTCCTCCCGTTCCCCTCACGACAGCGGGAGAGGCC